ACCCTGGGGCGGCGGGTGGAAATCTGATCGCCTTCAGGCCGATTTTTAGCGTTGGGACGCCCCAGGGGCGATTTTAAGAGCACCTGGCAGGCCAACGGCTCGAGTTGCTCTTAAGGCAACCCGGAGGAGGAGAGAACGCAACAGATTAACGAGATGTTCGCGGTGATGGGGCAGCTAGAGGAGGCATTTGCCCAGTGCTCAGACGGGAAGGCCATTTTCACCGGCGACTCCACCTGCTACCTCGACATCGCGGTTGGATGCAATCTGCTCTTGCTCGAGGTGCTACGCAGTATGTATGGCGTGGAGTTCGTCGACACTCGGAGGACTCCGCTCTTGACAGCGTGGGCGAAGCGGTTCGGGGAAACCGATGCGGCGAGGGAGGTGGTGCCCGACGTGCACATCGCCGTGGAGTACGCCAAGAAGCGTCGGGCTTGTTGGGCTGCTGCCGCGGCTACAAAGTGACATGATTCAGATCAGATCAGTCCAAGTACTACTGACTAAAAATTATCTCAAGTCCATAGCATGTTGCTCCAACAATAAAGAAGACAAATCATGGATACACCATCTTAAACATGGTGTTGAACTTACCTCACGGGGTTATCCCAACAGTCGCTGATTTAGTTATTGATCCTAGTAGTAGTTTAAATACGCAACGAAGTGACATTTTTTCAGTGTTGTGCTTTCTGAATACTTATGATTTAATTTTCTGAGTACTACTCCCTCGGTTCGAAATTAGTTGACGCTCAAACGGATGTATCTAACATTAACTGTGTCCGCGTCCGCGTCGCCTCCACCCAGGCGACTCGAGCGTTCCCAACAGCCGCCATCCACCACCCATCTCCGACCTTCCCCTCCCGCCGCCGCCGCCAGCGGTCGCCGCCGGACAAAGCTTGTGCGTGGACTGCAAGGATCCACTTCCATGGCGGCGGCGAGGATCTTCCCCATCGTTGTGGCGGCGGATCTGGCTCTTCGACAGCGGCGGTTCAGGCGGCGTAGTCTCTTTGAGGCACCGGCAAGGGAGGGCGGGATCCGGCGTTCTATGGCTGGGACTCCGTGGCTGCTGCACCCTCGCTCCAGGATGGGCTTGGGCGGGCCTATGGAGTGACGGTGATGTGGTTGGCGGTGTGGCAGTCGCAGTTGCTTCATACTGCGCGGTTGCGTGGCGGTGGCGGTAGTCGGCCAGGGGGCGGAGAGTCCTGCCTGTTAGGCGTGGTGGCAGCGAGTCTCGCGGCCTCTGGGCATCGTGGAGGTGCCGGCGGCGGCGTGTGCTCAGCCTGATGGCGTCGGCCGTGCACGGGAGTTGGATTCCTTCAAAAAGATCTGGGTGAAAACTTCCTTTCGACTATTGCCAAGGCCGGCGGTGGCGGTGCTATCTGCATCGTTTCCTTCTTGAAAGCATCATCGTGGAGAAGTTCAAGGCCACTCTGCTACCTCCGGGGAAAACCCTAGATCGGATGATCGGAAGATGATGGCGCTCTGGTGTCGTTGCCCCCTTGGGGGCGTCATTCTTGGAGGTACACACGTAGTCGAGGGACCAGAGGAAGGATTCTTTAGTGGAGCGGTGCGTCATCTCATTCATTGATGGCGGCGCATCTCGGCAGCATGGCACCATGGTGACTCGGTGTCCGATGCGCGGAGATGGACTCGCGCAGGAGGGTGACGTGGTCTGGCGTCGTGGTGGCGTCGACGGCAGCTAGACCGGGCAAGGTAGATGCAGCAGTGCAGCTCTGAAGATGGATTGGTGGCAGGTGGCTGCGGCGGCCTCATACCCGGCAGGCGTCCTGGTTGAGGAGTGTGCCGGACCGGTGAGTGCCACATACCCGGCAGGCGTCCTGGATGGGACCTCAGGTCTTAGATGTTAGGTTTGGCTATGAGGTCTGTTTGGTATTAGGCCCATACTATCAGTATCCCTTCATCATTTGGATAGGAGTAGCGATAAATGTTGCATAGATGGTGGCTTTAGTCTTACTATTGTATTACTCCCTCCGTCCCAAAATAAGTGACTCAAGTTTGTACTAAATTTAGTACAAAGTTAGTACAAACTTGAGTCACTTATTTTGGGACGGAGAGAGTACTTTGTAAGGTCTTGTGTGAACATTTAATATTGTGGCTGCATGCATCATCCAGATGCAGAGGCCGGGGGTCTTCCTCCTTTAAAAAAAAACTAATTCCAGTGTAGGGAAGTACAACATAAGTTATTAATTTATCAAGTTTTAAAAAATACACAATTGATACGATTAATAATTGAAGTTGCCACGATGTTCACTTTCACGAAACAGACTCTCATCCTGTCTTATAAGTAAATCACAACTCAAAGCACACAGACAACAGATACAAGGTAGTAAGGTATCTCTCTTAACAGAGCAAATTCAGTGATAGCCGGATAACAAAAATCACGATGAAAAAGGCAAAAGCGAAAAAGCAAAAACTACTATGTTGCCAAAAGATACATAGGAGATAGGAGTGCCTGAAGAAACAACGCGACACGCCCTAGGATGCCTAAACTCTACGATAGCACTGTCAGAAAGGAAGACGACACGAAGCATCGCCGCTATCGAGTCCGAGACATACAAGTGTTTTCATCCGAAACCCTGGCATCAAAAGAAGAACCACAACAACATCCTCAAGAGGAGAGTGCCACCCGCGGGTGACGCCTTTATTGGCGCCAAAGTGCGGAGCTTTTGCTCGGTGGCTCACTCATACCACCACAAGGCACCTCGGCCACCTGCGGCGAGTGCAGACCTCCAGAACTGTATATGGGCATTGGCACCACCAATGGAGGAGGACGAGCCCAAGCTTCCTATCAATAAACCCCTCGCCGCCCACACGACCAAAGGGTTGTTCGTGCTGGTGGTGGCGCTGGTAGTGGTTGGTCAAGTTAGTTTTGTTAAGTGGAGCTTCATTGTATTTTAGTTAGTTATTTTTTTATACATTTTCGAAGACTGTAAGGAAGAGAGAGAGAGAGAGAGATCACGAAGAAATATAGACAAGGGAGCAAGACTGGTTTTGGGTACGATGTCGTCAGATTTCGGGATGAGGGTAGCGCACGAGCTAGGCATTTGGTGGCCAAATTTAGGATTTTAAGGTTGCTAGACAAAAAAATGCTTCCTCCCCGCTTTATAAATAAAGCAACCATCAAAAGCACAAGGTCCAACAAATGTTCACACTATACATGCACACCAAAGTAATAGACAACAAAGAAACTGCAATAGAGGGTTCTGTTGAGGGCACAACTTAACAAGCTCTAACAAAAAAAAAGTCTAAACATTAATTATTCAGTAAGGAATAAAATGTGAAGTTGTTTATGGATATTAGGAGAAAAGGGATATTACTGGAACAAATACCGGGCACACGTGTGGATTCATGCCTTGATGGATGGTCGTGCCTGCAAGCGTGCAATGCATATTTCGCTTTGTTTATGGATGTGCTTATTTTCTTTCAGAGTAAAATGACTACGTGTATACTACGACAATGATGAAAAGTAGATGTGAGATCTTTATAAAACTACGCTTGGACGTGCGGGGAACGTATCTGGTGCACCAAGGTTACTGGTGCTACCGTTGCACCGGACCCGTTGCATATTCAAAAATATTTTAAAAAATCTGGAAAAAATTAGTGTATCGATACAACATCAATGTATGTTGTCACAAAAATTCAAATAAAAATTCAAAACAATGCTCAAGATACAAAGTTGACAAATTTAATTTTAATGTGCTAATGGGCCAAAACCAAAGCCCAACTTGTGTCATGTACTATTTAGTGTCAAATTTGTTATTTTTTTATCTCAAGCAACGTTTCAAATATTTATTTCAATTTTTGTGACAATGTACATTCATGTTGTGTCAATGCACTAAATTTTTTCTGGGTTTTTTCGAACATTTTTTAATGTGCAACGGGCGACCAATGCACCGGTAGCACAAATTGCCCCGGTGCACCAGATACATCCCCTGGACGTGTGATGTTAGAAAATGCAAGCGAGATAAGCTCAAATACTCTTGATATCGACTGCTTGTATGATTGTTCACTCTTTAAATATAAATATTTTTTTTAATTTGGTTTATACGGTTAACCGTCCTATTTTTTGATATATACCATAAAATCCGAAATTCAAAAGGGTAACGAAATTTCATACCATACCGGAAACCAGAAACCGTAAAATTGGTTTAATTCTGTTTATTTTCGGTGCGGTTTTTCTGTTTGATTTTAAAATGCAGAGTGATGTGGAATGTAGATGATGTCCCCGCAAAATATAAGTGGATGTTATATACTGTCGGTAGTCTTGACACGTATTACATGAAAAAAAAAATGTGTCGTGTCGCACGTGCCCTATTCATTTTGATCTAAACCACTGATTCTTGAGACAGCTAACGTGACTTTGTCAAGGATCAGTGCACATCCATCCATCCCAGATTTTTTTACGAAATATTAGCATTTCGCCACACGATTCAACGGTCAGATTTTTCTCTTTTGTCTTAGAAAAATGTGTGCTTGCCAAACGCTCTTGTGATTGGTTCCCGCCTCGCGCGCGAATTATTGCCCGGAGCGCTACGTGCACGTTGGACGACAGTTCGAGAGGCGCATATCTCTTTGATGATCCGATGCGTGCAGCACGGTACCTACCAGCTGTTCGGGAAAAAAAAACACGGTACCTACCGGCGCTTTTCTCCTACACTAGTTTTTTTCCAACAACAAAAATTGTGGGAGGCAAGCTTTGTGCTACTCCATATCACCAATGACTAATCTGCAGTTGGCACATCAATTCACTCCAAATTGAGCTGATCACCAAACATATAAAACACTCCAAATTAACAGACCTGATCACCAAACATATAAAACACTCCAAATTAACCGACCTGATTGCAGCGCTGAACTCCCCGAACTCCGAAATGTTCACTCGTTTATAACCAGTCGTCTTCAAGTCCAAGGCCTCAGCATCCAAGATCCCATCACCAGCACATCCCAAGAACTCAGAGATCCCGGAGCTGAGCCACGGTTTGTCAATGGCAGCGGCGGCAGGAGGAGACGAGGTGAAGCTGCTAGGCGTGTGGGACAGCCCGTTCGTGAACAGGGTGCAGATCGTGCTGAACCTGAAGGGGATCAGCTACGAGTACGTCGAGGAAGACCTCCACAGCAAGGGCGAGCTCCTCCTCGCCTCCAACCCGGTCCACAAGAAGGTGCCCGTCCTCATCCACAACGGCAAGCCCATCCCGGAGTCGCAGGTCATCGTGCAGTACATCGACGAGGCCTGGCGCGGCACCGGCCCGAGCCTCCTCCCCGCCGACCCGCACGAGCGCGCCACCTCCCGGTTCTGGGCCGCCTACGTCGACGACAAGGCAAGTATTACACGACGCATCGCCGTCTCTTCACCGCCCGCTCTTTCTTTGCTCGGTTCCTGTGCGGAAGTAATTAAGCTCGAATCGACGGATGTGCTGCAGGTTGGGTCACCGTGGTTCACCATCCTGTTCGCCCGCAAGACCGAGGAGAAGATGGAGGCGGCAGTGCGGGCCATCTCGGCGATGGAGACGCTGGAAGGCTCGTTCGGGGAATGCTCCGGGGGGAAGCCGTTCTTCGGCGGCGACGGCATCGGGTTCGTCGACGTTGTGCTCGGCAGCTACCTGGGCTGGTTCGTGGTGATCGAGAAGATGATCGGGGTCAAGCTCATGGACGCGGCGAGGACGCCGGCGCTGGCCGCGTGGGCTGAGCGGTTCAGGATGGCGGATGCGGTAAAGGGTGTCTTGCCTGAAGATGTCGATAAAGTGCTCGAGTTTTTGCAGATGTTCCTTGATGGCATGTACAATGCATAGCCTCAAGGTGATGCCTCGCATGCCATGTAGGATTGGATATGACGTAAAGTAGGTTCGGATAGGGAAGCAGAATCCTCTTCAGGAGGCGGGTGCTTGAAGAAAAAAAACGTGGTCCGATGACAAAAGCTGAAAAGGTTGGAGTGAAAAGTAGAGATGCATGTGTACTGGAGTCTTTATTTTTTATTTCTTAATGAGGCCCACTAGTGATAGCTTACATTGGAGAGGAAAAATGAATGTAGGTGCTTCAAATTATTTTTTATCATGAGGCATATGTATACATATGCAACCATTGTACATGCCCTGATTGGGTGCGTGGAGACGCTGTCGGCGGTTTGGACTTTTGATTATTATTTTTCAAAAGAAAAATTGGACTTTCGAGTTGTTTCTTTTCAAATGTGGGGTTGTAATGGGTCATCATTTATTTCAAGGCCAATAAAAAGGATTTAATAAAAGATGGCCCCAAATTATTTTTTAAACAATTCTCGCTGTAGTTGTCAGGCCTCTTTCAATACACAAATGCTTAGATGAGGTGCTAACAGGTTCTCTAAAAAAAGATGAGGTGCTAACACAATAAAGTAAAATCTTTAACAACAGGCTTAGAGTATGGCCTCCTAAAGAATTCTACTACTCCCTCCTTCACGGTTTAGAAGGTGCACTTTAGTTTTCATGCATTTTTAGAATAAAATAAGATTAAGGCGTGTGGTCAATTAATACTGAGTTAATTAGACAATTTTGAGGCGCGTAGGTTGCATCTGTAACGCCCCGGATTCGATGCGCCAGGTGTCTGCCAGTTATTCGCCATCATTGCCATGTAATTTGCTTGCGTGTTGCATTTTATCATGTCATCATGTGCATTGCATTGCATACGTGCTCGTCTTATGCATCCGATCATTTTCTCCGTTGTCCGTTTTACAATCCGGCACTCCTATGTCCTCCGGCGTTTCCCTTTTGTCTCCTGTTGTGAGCGGGTGTTAAACTTTTTTGGAATGGTCCGAGGTTTGACAAGCGGCCTTGGTATAGCACCGGTAGACCGTCTATCAAGTTTTGTGCCATTTGGAGGTCGTTTGATCTCCAACGGTTAACCGCATAGCCCGCAAAGCCCTTTTCGTCTTGCAGCCCAAGACCCCTCCAAAGTGGCCCAAAACCCATCCTAACCCCTCCATGCTCTCGGTCGTTCAATCACGATCGTGTGGGCCAAAACCGTGCCTCATTTGGTGTCTTCTAGCTCCCTTTACCTATATATTAGCCCTCCCCCGTCCAAATCGCAGTCCAAACCCTAAAACTCGCCCTCCGTCACCACCGGACGCGTCCACCCCGCGCCGGACACGTCCGTGCCCGCGCCCGCAGCCAATCGTGGCTTGCCACGTGGTCCTCCGCCGCCAGCCGCCGCCGCCGGCCCGCGGGGCCCAGTCCAGGCCCGCTCGGGCCCGCGCGCGTCGCCCGCGCCCCGCATCACCGCCCGTCGCCTTCGGCCTCCTCCGTCGCCTGGCCGCCGCCGGCGCCGCCCTCCG